ATCCTGAGAAAGAACAGAGTAGGTGGGATCTCAATGGCAGATATCAAGCTGTATTACAAAGCCACTGTTCTCAAAACTGCCTGGTACTGGCACAAGAACAGACATATAGATCAGTGGAATAGAATAGAGAGTCCAGAAATTAGCCCGAACCAATATGCTCAATTAATTTTTGACAAAGGAGGCATGAACATACAATGGAGCCAAGATAGTCTCTTCAATAAATGGTGTTGGGAAAATTGGACAGATATATGCAAGAAAATGAAACTAGACCACCAACTTACACCATACACAAGAATAAACTCGAAATGGATAAAGGACTTAAATGTACGACAGGAAACCATAAAAATTCTAGAAGAATACAAAGGCAACAAAATCTCAGACATATGCCAAAACAATTTCTTCACTGATACAGCTCCTAGGGCAGTTGAAACTAAAGAGAAACTGAACAAATGGGACTACATCAAAATAAAAAGCTTCTGCACAGCAAAAGAAACCATCAACAAAACAACAAGAAAACCCACCTCGTGGGAAAACATATTTGCCAACGTCATATCTGATAAGGGCTTAATCTCCAAAATTTATAGGGAACTCATACAACTTAACAAAAAGAAGATAAACAATCCAATCAAAAAATGGGCAAAGGATCTAAATAGACACCTTTCAAAAGAGGACATTCAGAAAGCCAAGAGACATATGAAAACATGCTCAAAGTCACTAATCATCCGAAAGATGCAAATCAAAACAACAATGAGGTACCATCTCACACCTGTCAGAATGGCCATCATCAACAATTCAACAAACGACAAGTGCTGGAGAGGATGTGGAGAAAAAGGAACACTTGTGCACTGCTGGTGGGAATGCAGACTGGTGCAGCCACTATGGAAGGCAGTATGGAGGTTCCTCAAAAAATTGGAAATGGAACTCCCATTTGACCCTGTGATCCCACTTCTAGGAATATATCCCAAGAAACCAGAAACACCAATCAGAAAGGATATATGCACCCAGATGTTCATAGCAGCACAATTCACCATAGCTAAGATCTGGAAACAGCCTAAGTGCCCATCAGTAGATGAATGGATTAGAAAACTGTGGTACATCTACACGATGGAATACTATGCTGCTGTTAAAAAGAAGGAACTCTTACCATTTGCAACAGCATGGATGGAACTGGAGAGCATTATGCTAAGTGAAACAAGCCAGTCAATAAAGGAAAAATACCACATGATCGCACTCTTTCATGGATAATTAAGACCATTACAAACTTTTGAACAATAATAAATACAGTGGCAGAGCTGCCTCAAACTGTTTGACGGACTGCAGTGGGAAGGCCAGGGAGGGTTGGGGGACAGGAGGGAGGGGAGTAAGAGATCAATCGAAGGACTTGTATGCATCCATATAACCATAACTAATGGACATAAGACACTGGGGGGGTAAGGGAGGGCAGGGGCCTGTCAAGGGCGGGGGGGGGAAAAAGGACACTTATGTAATACCCTTTGTAATACTTTTAGCGAAAAATAAAAAAAAATAAATAAAAAAAATAAACTGTTAACAATGCAAATAATTCTTGTCCATAGAAACGCAATTAATTGTGTTTTGTGAGATCCATTTGATTATTCCCCTAGGGACATAACTTGTAAGTTTTAACATTTTTGACTGCATATACTTATGGTTCTTTGGTATTTCCTATGAACAATTATAACATCTTTTCCAGTTCCCTGATTAATTTCATGACTTAAAATAAAATTTTTGGTAGAGGTTTATATATGTATAATAAGCATCATGATTTTTACCTATCAGAGGTTTATATATGTATAGTAAGCATCATGATTTTTACCTATCAGAACATGTAAAGAACTTCACTAATGAGAAAATAAATACCTTGACTTAATGCCTAGGTAGACTTAAACTCACCTGAAGCTAAGAGCTCTAGCTATACAGAAATTCAACTGCCAGATTCCTTATTGCAATGCTCAACCATACACTCATGTCACCCAGCAGGCAGGTGACACATGGATGAGCTAGGGTGAGTCACACAGGCTCTGTGTGACTTTCAGAGGGGGCAAAGAACTGCAGGGGGGGCTGCCAGGCCAAAGGCTCCTCCACCATGTGATGTGGTCCTGGAATTAAATGACTGGCCCAGGAATCAGTGTCCAAGCCAAAGCCAGAGAGAGGTGGTCATGGGCTGACTATCAGGTGTCCCAACAACAGGAGGCTGCCAAGCAGGCTGTGCTTGAAGAGTAGCCCCTTCTAACGGAAACACTAAACCACATGTCATACATGCAACGTCAGTACTTCACTCACCTCATCCAGTAGACACTTGGAAATACTTCTGCTAACCAACTGGAACCACTGCCCCACGATTTCTTCAAAGCTAACCCAGTCAAACCCAACAACAACAAAAAGCAAACCAAACCCAACCAACAAAGAGAACAAAGAGGTCTATGGACCTTCAGAAGGGCTGGGCCGGAAGTTACCAATCTGGGGTAACTAACTCCCAGAAACAGGCAGATCTGAGTTCAGAGTGGCTACCCAAAGGATTCGTTTGAGAACTCCAAGTTCTCCATCCACCCAAATGTGGAGGTGGTAACAACACTGGAATACCAATGGACTACGAAACTGGACCTATACCCAGATATTCAATCCAGCAATAACCCCACAACCTCTGTATTTATGTCCACACTTCACACAATTCATTGAACATTTACTAGGAAGACCCCACTGTACCGACACTGCATGAAGGTAAGACTAACTTCTCTCCAGGAGCTTATCCCTTACAGGGCTGGGAGACACAAACACAGAGACGACCAGAACATAAACACCTGCATAAGGTGCCTAAGAGGTATAAAATGCTACAAAATCGAAGAGGATTCACCCTCCCCTTATGAGGCTAAGGAAAACTTGAAAGGAAGAAATGGCCTTTGAAGCAAATCCTGAAGGACATACATGAGATAGAGGACAAGAAAGAGCATTCTAGGTTAGGTCAAGTGTAATGATGTTAAAACACACTATATGCCAGTAGTCTGACTTTTTCAATGTTCTGGTACATGGGGAGAAGGGAACATAGAAGGAAGCAAGATGGTGGAATTGAGGACAAGAACCAGTCTCTTGTCAATGGATCCTCCCCACCTGGCTGAGTATCTAGTTTACAATAAATGCTCCTGATTTGTCACATGAAGGTCAGGATAAAGGCACGTGAGGGCCACTGTCACAAGAGCAGATGAGATCTTCAGAAGACAATAATGCACCACTTAGGATGCAGACAGAGGGACATGATAAGGGCAACTGCTGTCATCTGGCCCTGGGCAGAGCCTAAACGGGGTAAGCTGGCAGGTCAAAGGGAAGGGTCAGCTCTAAGAACATTCCAAAGGTGGAACCAACAAGACTTAGCACATAACCTACCCCGATAATCTTACACAAGTGAGTAAAGGAATCCAACTCACAAAGTGCTAGAGGACAACATGGCCTTATCAGCGGTTCTCAACCTGTGGGTCGCGACCCCTTTGGCGGTCGAACGACCCTTTCACAGGGGTCGCCTAAGACCATCCTGCATATCAGATATTTACATTACGATTCATAACAGTAGTAACATTACAGTTATGAAGTAGCAACGCAAATAATTTTATGTTTGGGTCACAACATGAGGAACTGTATTTAAAGGGCCAGAAGGTTGAGAACCACTGCCTAAGATGGAGCAAGGGATACCCCCTGGAGAGAGCAATTAAGTACATGACAATTAAGTACATAGATATGTTCAATAAATGTGTGGATTTGAATTAGTTATCCCACTTGCAAAGTATCTGGGACCAGACTCTCCTCCTCCCCACTCTAGCCACGTTTCTGGTGACCCTACCAACTGTCTGACACTGCTGGGCACTCAATAAATACCTGGCAAACGAATTAAATGAATAAATCAATGTTGAAGAACAGAAAATGCAAAATTCAAGTAGTGTTGGCTTCTCAGGAAAGAATGTTGGTAGGGAAAATGGGTGCCACTGAGATTGGTAACCCTAAAAAGCCAATGGAGATCTCCACAGGATCACCTGGTAACTTCTTGGAATAATGTAGCTGGAATCGGGTGGTTTGGGGCTTTAGCCTGAGGGGAGGGCTTGCAGATTTTTACTTAAGCAAATACATAATTATAAAACAAAGGTCAGGGAGACATGCGCACTAAATATTACTGTAAACAGGTTAATACGAATACTAAGATATGGTCCTTTTCTTTATTTACTTTCCATTAGCTATCCACTTTATCCAGGTATTTTGAAATCTCAGCTTATTGTCCCAATTTTTCAGCTGAGGCACTGAATCCTAAAAGTAGAGCCAGATTACACATTTTACATTAACTCTGTGAATTCCCATAGAAAATCCTATTGCTAATCAGACTTGGAATACGTGACACCAGGACAGGGTAGCCCTGGAACAGGTGGAAGGGTAGGAACAAGAGTCACTTGGCTTCGGTTCTGGAAGATCCTTGACTATTCCTTCTACAGAACATACTGAGCCACTTTAACACACTGGCCCCTCCCACTTATCCAGTCTGTAGGGATCAACATCATCTATCTATGCAAAATTACTTGGTAAACTAATGCATTATCAAATACAAAGAATTATCATTAGAGGATACCTTTTTTTTAAAAAGTAGAAAAGAAAGACAAAAAGCCAATAAAGCCAAAGAAACTCCACCTAAGGGCAGAGATACCCCACTTGGCTCCCAAAATACTATAATTAAGATCATTAACTTGATTGGCAACAGCAAATCCACTCAGGTCAAAAGACTCCACTAACAGCATCACACTCTCCGTTTAACAAACAAGTGGGGCCACGATCTCCCCACTAGCAGCTGAACATCTCGGGGTGCCCACGGGGCCATCGAGAGCTCAGGTCTTCCCCTCTGACTCTCTCCCCGGCCCTCGGGCGAGTACACCCAGGAGCGGGCGCGCCAAGCTAAAACTACTTGGAGTGAAATTTCAAAGCCAACTCTCCACCGGCTTTCCAGGAAAGTAAAGAGAAGACCTCTCTGCAGCCCAGAATTCACCAGTTTCCCTTTGTTGGTAAGGAGACCAGGGGGCAAGTCCCTTCCAGCCCCACTCACCTTCAGACACACCACCTGGCCCCACCCACATTGCAACTATTGTGGAGCAGACCAGGGTCTTTAGAAAGCTGGCCCCAAGCAGCTCCCAAATCAAAACGGCCTTGAAGGAGCAAAAAGTAACCCAGGGAAAATGTTCGCCCTCTCCCCTCCCCGGAGCCCGCGCCCCTCCAGACACCAGGGCGCCCCGGCGGAGCCCACCACGAGCCCTCGCCCAGCCCGGAGTTGCTCACCCTCACGTGAATCTCCCCCGCCGCGTGGCTGCAACCTTCCCGGCCTCCTCACCGTGCACATCGCGGAGGGGCGGGAAAGACGCGGTTGGCTTCCATGCCGGGGGTCCCGGTCTGCGAACCAGGTGAGAACCCAGGACATCCCACCTGTTCCCGCCTCTTCCAGAGGCCGCGCCCCCACCGCCACGGTAGTGGAGCCGGGACCCGCCCATAGAGGGTGCAGAAAAGCACAGGGCGCTGCACCCTGATGCTAGGACCCAGCCTCCGCCAACGGTCCCGCCCCGGGTACTTCGCGGAGTCTGGTCTTCAAGCACACCGCTCGCCCCCGTCGCGGTCCTTCCTGGGAAATGTAGTTCTGTGGATCCCGTAGCCTGACGCCAGCGCCCTGGCCTGGACTACTAGCCCCACAATGCTCCGCGACGGGCGTGCACAAGCCAGCTTTGTAGCCTGGTCAGGTTGTGTGGAGTAACTGCGCTTGGGGGAATCCCACAGGTTTTTCTGCCTTCCCCTGCTTGGGAGGAGGGGGTGTTCGACCTGACCTGTGGTTTTTCCCAGCAGTGACAGTGTGGCCGTGGACGAGACCTTAGGGCAGGGCAGTCGCTCTTCTGGAGACGTCCGCTTGGGAGTGACTTCTCTAGCCTCAGTCCCAAGAGGAACGCACATGGGACCAGGCGCCCGTGGAGTCTCCCTAGACCTGCGGAGGCCCAGGACTAACAAGTTTAGAACCCCCTGCCCTAATGTTGTCTTGCACTTTGCCTTCCTCCGGATGGAGCCCAGTCCCACACCTATCAGTGTGCCCTGCAGAGACCCTACAGTTCTTGTCGACTGCAAGAACTTTTCACTGAACTTAAGAGCTTTCTCTTTCCTTCTCCATCTGTAAGGTGTCTTACTGTAGGGCAATGATTTTCAACCGGTGTGCTGCAAGAATTTTTAAAACATGCAGCACCTGACTATTGAGTCAGGGGCACTGACCACTTTCCCCTTAGATTGTCAAATAAATAAAAAATCACAGCAGCTGCCTGGCCTGTGTTGGTCCATGGTTAGAGCGGTCATCCTGTGCACCAAAGGGTCCTGGGTTCGATTCCTGCTCAGAGCCCAGAGCCCATACAGGAGGCAACCAATTGATGTTCCTCCCTCTCCTTTCCTATCTATGCTCTCTACCTCCCTACCCCATAATCACCACACTGCTGTCCATGTTCATGAGTTCTCTTTTTTTTTAACCCTCCCCCACCTCCACCAGAACTGCTTTCTATCTAAGAGTCTGTCTCTATTTCACTTGGTAGTTCAGTTTGTACCCTCTCCGTCACAATTTATCTCACTCTATTCACTTGACTGTCTCATTCAAAAGACTACAAGCCCTTGACGGCAGAGACCATCTTTTTCTTATAGAATGCACTAGAGGACCAGTGCACAAAATTCATGCACAGGTAGGGTCCCTAGCGGCTGCCGGCTGGGACCACCTCCCTTCCCCTGCTGCCTGCCGCTGCCGCCGGCCCCACCCCCTGGTCAAACTCCTGGTCAAATTCCCCGTGGATGGAACAATTTGCATATTAGGCTTTTATTATATAGGATAGCACCTGGCTCAATATTTGGGGAGTTAGCACTGTTCTACAGAATTCTACCTGTCTGTGCCTCTGTTTTCTTTTCATTCTATCCATCTTGTAATCATTTCTCATTCCAGCCCCCACTTAACCCTTCTCCTTAGGTCTGCCAATGATGCCCAGTGACTCTCATGGATGTTCTGAAATCCCACTGGCAACTCTTGGGGCTGAGGGCTATGTTGAATGGTATGAGCATCATGTTCCTATGACACTTTTTATTTGCATATTTATTAATAATAGTGCCAAGCACCATGCTAAATGCTTTGCAGATGCTGTCATACTTAATTCTAACAACTCCAAGAAGTGGGTACTATTATCCCCATTACATAGATGAGGCATGAAAGAAGTCCTCACTTAGCTAAGGTTCCACTGCTCATACGTGAAGCTGGGATGCAAACTTTCAGTGACTCCAGGACCAAACTTTGATCTCATAGAATCACCCAGATGCAGATTTATTAACACACCCAATGCTACCACCAATATAGTCCTAAACTTTGACTTCTATAAATCTTTCTCTTCCCAGTCACAAGTAATAGCAATGAACCTTGAGACAAAATGGATAACAAGGGAAAAAAGAATGAAAAAAACTATAAACGAGGAAGTACCATATAAAGGGAAATATAGTTTCTTTTAGGTTTTTTAAAAATACGTTTTTTAAATTGATTTTAGAGGGAGAGAAACACTGACCATCTGCCTCCTGCATACCCCCTACTGGGGATTGAGACAGCAACCCAGGTATGTGCACTGACAGGGAATGGAACCAGCAACCTTTCGGTGCATGGGACAACTCTCAACCAACTGAGCCCCACCGGCCAGTGCTAAACGGAAGTATTGTTTTTGAATGCTGGACCACTTTCAGGGTCTCACAAAGGTGAGATCAATCTACTTTGTAATCTTAATAACCCGCCCAATTTTTAAAATTTTTTCTAGATTACTCACACTGGGACAAACCACATTGGGCTCATTTTTTCCTCTTTCATGAAAACTAATATCCTTGGAAAAGAGATTTCAGGGCCAGAATGATGGGTCACAGGGGGCAGAGCCCATCATCCTGCACTGTAACTGGTGGTGAGGGCCTTAGGCACCTCACCCCCTTGATGGCTCCTGCATATTCCAGTCTGAGAGAAACAAGGGCAACAGGGCACAATGGCACTTCCCTTAATCCTGGGGTGTAGGCTCCCCTAGGGAGATACACAGCACCACTGTGTGCCTGGCTGGGCTTCAGTGAAGCAGGAAAAGCTCTCCACTTCCACCTCCCTTCCCTCTCCCTCTTCCTCTCTTTTGCTTCAGTCTGGTCATTTGGAAGGGGACTCCCAGGGCTGGCTGTATAGAACTACAAATCAAACACTGGAATAGATTTGGGGATCCTGCCAGTGGATATCAGGCAAGTGGTACTGGCTCAAATGCACCTCAGGCTAGGGTTTGGATTGCCCTTGTTTTATCCAGCAGTTAAGACTAATTTAGAAACATATACTTTAGGTAATTTGGAAATAAGTATGGTAGCTAATATCATATTCCTATGACACTTTATTTGCATATCCTATATAATAAAAGCCTTATATGCTAAGTGTCTGGTCGTCCAGTCATCCATTCAACCAATCAAAGCATAATATGCTAATGATATGCTAAGGCCGCTCTACCGCTCGCTATGACATGCACTGACCACCAGAGGCAGATAGTCAACCAGTTGCTATGATGTGCACTGACCACCAGAGGGCAGATGCTTCGACTGGTAGGTTAGCTTGCTACTGGGGTCTGGCCATTCAAGACTGAGCAAGACTGGCCAGAATGCCCTGAAGCCCTCCCGCAGTCCCTCCCTGGCTGGCCAACCTCCTGCGTCCCTCCCCAGCCTGATCATGCACTGGTGGGGTCCTTCAGCCTGGCCTGTGCCCTCTCGAAATCCAGGACCCCTCGGGGGATGTTGGAGAGCCGGTTTCGACCCGATCTCGCTCAATGCAGAAGCCTTCCCTGGTGGTCAGTGCACTCAGTGAGAAGCCGGGCTCACAGCTGGCAAACACAGCAGCAGTGGCAGGAGCCTCTCCTGCTTCCATGGCAGCGCTAAGGATGTCCAACTGCCATCAGTTGGAGATCCCCCGAGAGCTCCAGGACTGTGAGAGGATGCAGGCCAGGCTGAGGGACCACCTCCCCAAGTGCACAAATTTCGTGCACCAGACCTCTATTTTATTGATAATAGTGCCAGGCTCCATACTAAATGCTTTGCAGATGTTATCACACTTAATCCTAATAAGTGCAAGAAGTGGGTACTATTAGTCCCATTATACACCCTCAGAATGGTCTTTGGAGCCTTAACTTGTGGCCTGCAATGCTTCATCCCCTTTCCATGAGGGCAGGTTTATTATCTACTAATAATTTTGACTGACTGGTAGGGCCTTGGAAGACCTTATTATTTCTGGTAATCAATTAAAGTGAGTCATGGTTAATTCATCAGTATTACTACCCTGCTATACATTTAACACTGGAAGGTGAGCCAGCAATCTATTTACCAAAATCAAATCTTTCTGCTGGTTGATTACGTGGTTCTGAAAAAAAAAATGTATAGAACAATTCCTTACTGCTGTATGAAACCATTTCTTGCATAAGGATCAAGCTGTCTTTTAAAATCTTTACAGAAGTGCCTGTCAACTTGGAGTGATATTTGGCAATGTCTAGAGACATTGTCATGACTGGGGGATGCTCCTGGCATCTAGTGGGTAGAGGCCAGGGATTCTGCTAAACATCCTATGTGCACAGACAGCCACACACAATTTCCCCACCCAAAGTATCAATAGTGCCGAGACTGAGAAACCAGACTTAAAGAATCCTCAAGTTGGGATCTGTGGGTAGCTTTTTTTCCCAAAAACTACACAAGCCTCACCTTATGATCACTAATCACACCTCTAATAAGAAAAATTCTGAAAAGTCAGTATTAACCCCATGCGTTTCTTAAGTACTCTTGCACAATTATTAATAGTAGTTTTAGAGACCTTAACTTGAGTACTTTGAGGCAAGGGGCTAGTGAGGCTGGAGGGGATAAAGATTGATAAAAGATTGATAAAGTAACTCCCCTCCTTCCCTCTAGTTAAGTCAATTTTTCCCAAGGTATTCGTTTGGAGAAAAGGAAAGATCTCGATCCCCTTAAGTTCTCTCAGCTGCTCCACTGTTAGGTTTGGCCAAAGGGAGCCTTTAGTTGAAATGTTTGGTGTTGAAATTGATTACTGCTGGTTTGGAGTGACTTTTGTAATTTTAGACATTCCTTTTTGAAATGCTCCAGTTTCTCACAATAGTAGCAGGCCTTTCTATGGGAGATGAAGTTTCATTATTTGGGTGGCTGGATGGGGTGCTGGGCTCCGGCTGGCTCATAGCTGCTGCTCTGAGCCTAGCTCGCTGGCTTCTAGCCCCATAGCTTAGACATCCTGGGAGTAGGCAACGGGGAACTAGATTCTCATCCCTAGGCTAGGGTGATCATGCCTCTCTCACTGGCTGCTCTTCTTTAGGAAAATATATCATCCATTCATTGTTTCCTTTGCTCAAAATACATTTATTGTAAACAGTGTCCCAGTCAATAGGTGCTGGGGATACAGTGAGGGTCTGACACAGCTCTTGGTCTCGTAAAGAATAGATGCACTTTGTCTGGATGCATCAAGTTAATGAGAATGCCCTGACCCTTGTCCTAGTGGCGAATCAGATACCTTTTGTATTCAGGCAAGTGCTAGCCCTCCCTCCATTCTTTCACACAAAGCCATATTTCTCCATTTCAGATTCCAGTGGTCTGTGTGGGATATTAGTCAAAGCCACTGGCCTAAAGGAGATTCAGTCTTCACCAAGTGGGCCTGGGCTCTGGACCAGACAAGCAATTTGGGGAGCATCGCAAGATATGGACCTTTTTTTATTAGTATTACAATATGGCTTTCATATGTTTAAAAGAACAATGGCTCTAGAATTGTTTTCTGTAATGTTTACTGCAATTTATAAATATTTCAGTTGTATCATAGAGGTCATTGACTCCTAGGGGCTGTTCTGAAAACAAAACCATTATTTGTACCACTATATCTAAGACCAATTTCTGAGAGTTCCAGATATCTAGCTCACTGTTACATATAGAATATATATATACTAGAGGCCCAGTGCACAAAAATTTGTGCACTCGGCGGGGGGAAGTGGGGGGCCTCAGCCCGGCCTGTGCCCTCTCGCAGTCTGGGACCCCTCGGGAGATAACGACCTGCTGGCTTAGGCCTGCTCCTGGGTGGCAGAAGGCAGGCCCAATCCCTAGGTGCAGCCCCTGGTCGGGCTCAGAGCAGGGCCGATTGGGGAGTTGGGGCGCTGCTCTCTGTCATGCACAGAGCAGGGCGGATTGGGAGGTTGCGATGCCACCCTTCAGTCACGCTCAGGGTAGGGCAATTGGGGGGTTGGG